TGACGAATAATAGCTCCAAACTTCTCTTTTACCTGTGAGGTACTTCCATTTTCTCTTCGTTACTAGTGAGAAAACCTGCTTTAATAGAAACATAATAACTCATTTGCCTCTCCAGAAAATAAATTTATATAATACAATCTTTGTTGACATATAAGAAGATTGAAATCGATCACATTCATAATACTGAATACATAATGCGTATTTTTGAACTCTGTCGGATAGATCAATAAAAAGATCATAATGATAAATTATTGCTCTTGAAATTTAGTCCAGTAGAACAATTTCGAACTCACAATCGAGTTCAAGAATAATTCGAGATTCATCTTGCCTCATGTATGTTATTAGGTAATTCTGATCTTTATGCAATTCATGATGACTCTTTTCAGAATGTACGTCAAAGAGCTTCATTCCAGTGTTATTCAACATTTCAAAATTGATCTTGCTGTAGGCAAAGAGATCTAGAATATTACGTCTTCTATTGCTACTACTACTACTACTGCTGTCACTGCTGCTGCTGCTATAACAGCTACTAGTCGATTTTTGAGACAGAATGAAGCTCTTCGAGACTCACAGCTCTTTTAAAACGTTTCTCCACTTCTTTGGTATTCGAGCCATTACAACCACTTTCCTCTACTTTGAATTAGATTTCCATTTTATTTAACATGTACCTATATAGTGTAATGATTTTTTAATATAGGACGAAGCATTCGATTCATCATCAGTATACTTTTCTTGAATAATACTCGTGATATAACTTTATTCAATTCAGCAATACGTCTTTGGAAGCGCACACGATCTCTTGCTACGTGCTCTCTAATACCTTTTCTAAAGTCTTTTTCTTCGTATGGAAGATGATGTATTCTAACTTTCTTTGCAAACCATACATGCTTAGCAGAGGAGCTAGATCTCTTGTTGTCTCTTATAACTGGCATGGCTAAGCTTCTACTACTTATTCTTACCGCTGCTTCGAACGGAATGGGCTTTCTATTAATATCTTATCGTTATTTGAAAATCTAATCCTACTACTACGCTTTTCGAACCACCGAAATCTCCCTCTTCTCTCTTTTTTATTTATTTATTTTTTTTTGTTAGGAAATAGTGAGAGCCTCAACCATCGTTCTCACCTGTGAGGTACCACTACTATTAACATTGCTTGTGAGACCTTTATACTAAGTCGAAACTTAGCGGAAAGGACGCATAAGTAATTACTTCTACTTCTCCAAAAAAGGATTTGAAAGTATAATTAAATTAGGATTAAAGACCTGATTAAAATTAAAAATATAAATTTATTACTTATTTACTATATACATTTATAAATTACACTAAGTTAATTTTTAATTTCAATATTCGAGCCTTCTTGATGATGTAGAAATAATTCCTTCCTCTCCGTGGTCTCATACAATTTCTGCAGCATCTCCTCATCTTGTTCTAACGCCAAGCTTACTCGCTTCGGTAGAAATACCTCAAATTCGTCATCTACTGTTACTTCTACACTAAATCCGTAGCGAGTGTTCAACCACCTTAATTTAGTTATCATATATATACAGTTTTTATCTAATTGTGACATAGTCTTTCTAGGTAAGAAAGCTGATTTTGCAATTTTATTGAATGACGACAAATCCATTCTACAATAAAAAAAAAAAGAAATCAATCTTTAATTGAATACATTCTGTTTGATACTCCTAGGATATAGTTAGAAAGCTATGTAAGAAATTTTCTTTTAATAGAAAATCTACTAATACTGGAAAAAGGAGAACTAGGAACAGATTGCTGCTGCTTCAAGCTGCTTCTGATTAACTATGAATGACTGAAGTGTATTCTCTGTTTTGTACCCAGCATCCCCTCTTTGAGAACTTGAGCCGCCGTCATTTCCCTCTGTTTTCACCTTAGCTCTACCAGAGTAATATCTCGTCTGATTCCATTTCCCTGCGCCTTTGGCTCCAGTCGCCATATCTACCGTTGTCCCCCATTCTATCACTATTCTATCCTAAGTCTTTTCCTAACTAATCCTTCTTCCTCCCCACTATTGCTGCTCTGTCCTGAGCGACTTCTATCGGAGGTTGGAGGAATCTTACAACTTTGTTGGTATTGGTTTCTATAGTGATCTCTACTACTTATTATAAAGGTATCTTGAGGATTTTCCCTTACGTCTATGATCTTCCTCGTTGTACCACACTGCTGATTTTAAGCTTTGTTGTTTCAATAGTTCCGTAATGATCCCATGGAAGTGTATCTGGATTTTTATCAAATATACAACGTTTATCATCATATGGAATTAGTGCTACTTTCTATGCTCTTTCCGTTCTTACTTGATGTAATACACTACGTATATTGCATTGCTCACGCATAATAATTTTTAATTCCAATAAACAGTTTCGATGATCTTCATGATCAATTGTTTTGTGACAGTATATGTATTCACGCCTTTTGCTTTCTTTATTGTTCCGTGGTCGTCGCGTTGCTTGGCGCCAGCTCGTGACTACCGCGCGAACTACTTCTGCGCTTGCGCGCTCTCGAATGGTGTGCGCATGAATGCGAGGTCGAGAGTCCGTTGGAAATAAGGTCCGGGGACTGACCACCATCTTGATTCACTGCCTCGGAGGGGACGATGAGGCAGTCTCTCCGAGCAGTTCGAAGCGTATAGACATAGCGTTCTAGCTTCTTCGCCAATCGAAACGTGATCATTCGACAAGCGATCTTTCCGAGATCACCTTCCTGTTTTTAAAACGGTTGACCGTCGAATTCTGTATGCAAGTGTGTTTCATTGAGAAGCTTCTCGCGTGTATATAATTGTGTGAAGGAGTGAAAACTTAGAAAAACAATTAGAGCGACCACCATTGTCTTAACAAATTGTAACGGCCACCGGCCTCTTGCGTTCCGCGAAAACGCCTCGGCGTGTCGAGTGCGCAACTTCTTTTTCGTCTCTTTATTGTAAGAGTGCGCGATTTCCTTTCTTTCCCTCTTTATTGTAATTTCATGTTCTCTTTCTTTGATTGTAAAATTTAATAATAATAAAAGGGTTTTTATGCCGGTATGGCTTTTCCCTCTATTTGAGAATTTTTTATTTAAAATACTTCAATCAATGCTATTAAAAAATTCAACTTTTTCCCTTTCTCTTTATAAACAACTACGTCTCATTTCATGGTGCCTCCTGTGAGGTTCGAAGTTCACATTTCTTTGTTGTCGCATTTCGACGTGCACGAACGTGATTCGAGCGGGAAAAGTGCGCGCGTTATTTTAGGTTGCAGAATTTAAGGCTAGGAACTCTAGTGAATAAAAGGCAACCATTCTCAAGCAGAACAGATAGCTGACATATCTAACGAGTGCAGTGGCAACCACACTTCGATTCAACACTACTTAAAGATAAGTTTCACTCTTTTCTTCACACTTTCGAGCGTTGAATATTGACATTCATTCATTTATAACCTAATTATAACCAATCTATCAAGTAATTACATAATCATTTATTAATTCGTTTAATCATTCATTACCATTATTGATTCATTATTATTGACTCACTTACAATTAATTTATTTTTATAAGAATACTAGTTTTATTTGTGTTCATTTCGTGAATTCTATTTTTAATTATAGTTTGATTTTGTGTTTCAAAACATATTCCCTTAGAAAACATTCACAATGGAGTTCTCCGAAGACCAAAAAAAGCGCGTTGATTTTATCATACAGAAAAGTAAAACTTTTGAAAGCCATATCAACACCCTCAAAAAATATTTGACAGAACAAAACCCTGACGTTATCAATGCCTCTTTACGTTTAAACAGTTTAACAACTCTTTATCAATCTTATGTTAAATATAACGACGAACTTATTTCTTTAAAACCTGACCACGAAAGACTTGACAAATTCTTAGAACTAGAAGCTCTTTATTTTGAAACTGCCGCTACTGTCACACGCCTCAACAAGACTAACGAAATGATTGCTAACTCCACACTCAACTCAAGTAACATTACTTTTTCTGAACGACCAAGACTACCTTCCATCACAATCCCAACTTATGATGGTAATGCTGACAAATGGCTTACTTTCAAAAACAAATTTATTGCTATGGTCCACTCTCGGGATGATCTGACCAACTATCACAAACACAACCTATTAAAAACTTCGTTGACAGGCAGGGCTCTAGAAAAAATCAATTCGTTTACTCCTAGTGACGAGGACTATGATCAGGCTTGGGCCACACTTTGTGCTGCCTACGATCATAAACGACTTATTGCTACTGAGCATCTTGACGCTTTACTCGATCTTCCTGTCGTCACTTCCTTAACCTATGACGGGTTGTCATCACTTATCGATCAAACCAAACAACATCTCTACATGTTAAAAAAGATCGGAGTTCAGGTTAATGACGATATAGTCATCAGGATTCTTGAGAGACGTATTCCAAAGGCTGTCTTGGACAGGTGGCAAGACAAGCTTGAACCTGATCGGCTCCCAACTCTCGATGAATTTTATACCTTTGCACAAACTACGTGCTTCAAGCTCAGGTCGATAGAAAAGGCATCATCAACTAATCCTAATTATCCGCGAAAAAGGGGAAGCGAGCAAGTCTCCAAGGTTCATCAGTCCAAAGTTTCCAGAAATAATGCTAGGAGTTTTGTCACCAATGCCCCTGCCCAGGCAGCAACTGTCTCCAACAAAGTCGCTTGTCAGAAATGCAATAGCGATCACCGTCTTTTCAAGTGCCCCGAGTTTGCGAAGCTTACCACTCAGCAGAGGTGGGATTTTGTCAGGACGCATAAGATCTGTTTCAATTGCCTGTCTAATCATCCTTTTCCATGCAAAAGTACAACATCTTGCAAAAAATGTAACCGCAAGCACCACACGTTGTTACATTCAGACAAGAAAAACGTAGACTCTAACAATCAGAACCAAGGTCAAGGTGATGCTACTCAAAGTACATCAACTACTCCAAAAACAACCCCATCCTGACTAACTAGTTTTTCATTCACTTCTACTGTTTATCCTTCCGATTCATACCTGATGACTACGGCCCTCATCAAACTTCGAGACAATCAGGGACAATTCATCAAAGCACGGGCTCTCCTCGATTCATGCTCCACTGTCAATTTGATAACCGATAAACTCGCAAATTCTTTAAGATTATCTAAATTTGAGTGTGTAGTTAACATTGGAGCAGTCGACAATATGAACACCATAGCCAATCATTTCATCAAGGCTAACTTGATTTCCAACTATACTTCTCCAACATATGAACTGAGCTTTCTTATTGTGCCTAGTATTGCGGATACGATTCCTTCTGATGTCTTTCCCCGGAAACTCTATAAAATTCCAAAAGGACTGAAGTTAGCGGATCCATCTTTCCATCTTCCAGCACCTATTGACGTTTTATTGGCTTCTGGTACCACGTTATCGGCTATGAATCCCGGCCAAATAAGGCTCCAGCACGATAATTCACATTTAATTTTCCAGAAGACGTCATTTGGCTGGGTCGCTGCTGGGGGATTTAATAGGCTGTCTTGCTCTTCACCAGCTTCTTGCAAAATAGTCAAACTAGATAGATTCTTAAAAAAATTTTGGATTATCGAGGATTTTGACCACGAACCTCTTCGTTCTCGCGACGAGGTCTTCTGTGAGGAGCATTACGCGACTCACACCACTCGTGACGCGTCAGGTCGTTACGTGGTGCGTCTCCCATTTCGAGATAGTAAGTTCAATCTCGGTTCATCAAAACAGCAAGCTCTCAGGCGTCTTCATTCGTTAGAAAATAAACTCGGAAAGGATCATCATCTCAAAGCAGAATATTACAAAGCGATGAACGAATACATCACCTTGGGACATATGACGCTTTGTGAGGAGGATCCTGGAGACTGGTACTACATTCCTCATCAGGCAGTAGTCAAAGAGTCTAGTGAAACGACTAAAGTGAGACCAGTATACGATGCTTCTTCCAAGACATCTACTGGAATTTCCCTTAATGATGTGCTCAGGGTTGGACCGACTATTCAAGACTCCATTTTCGAACAAGTGCTCCGCTTTCGTACAAACAAATTCGTTGTCACGGCTGATATTGAAAAAATGTATCGGCAGGTTCTGGTTCACCCAGAGAATAGGAAATACCAAAAGATTCTCTGGTATTACGAAGGAAAAATAAGAACTTTCATACTCAATACTGTCATTTTTGGCATGGCCTGTGCTCCAATTTTAGTTATCAGGACTCTTCACCAATTAGCTCGTGATGAAGCAGAGAATTTCCCAAACGCCAGCCAGATATTAATGCGTGACTTTTATGTTGATGATCTTGTTTCTGGCGCTGATTCTCTCGAAGCCATTTTAAGCATTCGTGACGAGATGATACAATTATTATCTCGTGGAGGTTTCGTTATCAGACAGTGGTCGTCCAATCACATTTCCGCTTTGGAAAATATCGATAGGGAAATTTTCAGCTTAGATTGCGGGGTGAAGGTGTCTCCTCTTCAGAAAACCTTGGGAATCCATTGGAATTCTAACATCGACAAATTCTGTTACACTGTCTCATCGATCGATTTAAACATTTTGTATACAAAACGCCACTTGCTCTCTGAGATTTCTAAGATCTATGACCCTCTAGGCCTTCTTGGTCCAGTGATTTTGTACGCTAAAGTTCTCATGCAAGATTGCTGGAAATCCCAAATCACTTGGGATGTAGCTTTACCGCAGGATATTTCCAGTAAATGGCGAGTGTTGGCTGAACAACTCCCTGCCCTTCGAGAATATCTAATTCCGCGATTTATACGGGCTGAAGGTGCCGTTAAAAGTGAGATTCATGGTTTCTGCGACGCCTGCGCTCATGGTTATGGTGCTTGTTTATATCTCAAATCTGTCGTTTTCCCATGGGGTAGCATCCATCCAACTCATCTGCAGTAAATCACGAGTAGCTCCGCTGAAGGGAATGAATATCCCCCGTCTAGAGCTTTGCGCCGCTAGTGTTCTCACGAAACTTTTTATCAAGGTTAGAAACGTCTTAGACTTCCCCATACATAAAGTTACCTTTTGGTCCGATTCAGTCATAGCCCTGTGTTGGCTTAAAAAGGCGCCTCATCTCCTGAGACCATTCGAGTCCAACCGAGTGGCCGAGATTCAAAAAATGGATGATCAAGTCAGTTGGTATCATGTTCCGTCTGGAGATAATCCTGCAGATTCACTGTCCAGAGGGCAACTTCCTGAGGAATTCATGAAAAACCCACTTTGGAACTCCGGTCCAAAGTGGTTGTTATTTTCAGATACTGAGTGGCCAAAACAACCTGAGCAGTTACTACCATCTGGATCTACCAGCGGAAAAGAGACTTGTTTACTCTCATCAACCTCTAATGATATTTCATTCATTTATTCCCGTTTTTCGTCCTTTAAGCACTTGATCAAAGTCGTAGCTTTCATGTTACGATGGAAGAATCTTAAATCATTGGATGAACGGCGAGGTGAATTGCGGCCTCTAGAAATCAGCGAATTAGAGACTGCCGAACGGAAAATTGTAGCCATGATTCAACGAGAACGCTTCCCTAAAGAGCTGAAACTTCTTGCGACGGCTGAGGAGAGTAAAGGGGACGATAATTCAGTTCCTTTCCGTAAGGCAACTAGTCTGGATGAGTTGAACCCTTTTCTTGATGAACATGACATGATTAGAGTAGGTGGTCGTCTTAAAAGGTCCGATCTAATTTATACTCAACGTCATCCAGTCTTGTTGCCTAGTCGACATCATGTTACCGATCTCATCATTAGGGATACTCATGACTCCAATTTGCATGCTGGGATCCAAGCTACATTATACATCATCCGTCAACGTTATTGAATTCTCAATGGAAAGGACCAGATTAGAAGAATCGTTCGACATTGTGTTGAGTGTATTCGACAACGACCTAAATGTATGAATGCACAGATGGCGGATCTTCATGGTAGCAGAGTAACTGAAGCACCCGCTTTTAGTAAGACCGGAGTGGATTTCTTTGGTCCTATTCTCATCAAAGAAAAGAAAGATAGAAATAGGAGCTTCATTAAGACGTACGGCTGCGTGTTCGTTTGTATGGCTTCTAAGGCTGTACACATCGAACTTGCGACTGATCTGTCAACCGAAGGTTTTCTTTCAGCCTTTCGCAGGTTCATCAGTCGACGTGGTATCCCAACAGATGTTTTCTCCGACAATGGAACCAATTTCCTTGGAGCTAATCGAGAGCTGACTGAGATTTACAAATTGCATGAAAAACCTGAGTTCATTAATTCAATTCAATCATTCGCTTTATCCAGACGAATTTCCTGGCATTTCAATCCTCCTTTATCACCGCACTTTGGTGGTCTTTGGGAAGCGGCGGTGAAAAGCTTCAAACACCATTTGAGACGTGTACTGAAGGATCACTTTCTGACTTATGAACAAATTAGTACCTTATTAACTGAGATCGAGGCGATCCTCAATTCGCGTCCTCTTTGCTCTTTGTCCGCCGATCCCAACGACCCCAGCGCAATCAGCCCAGCTCACCTTCTTATTGGCCGACCAATCAATTTCTTACCCTCAACTGATTTTGTTTCAGTGCCGACGAATCGCCTATCGACTATGAATTTTATCACAAAGACAAGACAGGATTTCTCGTCCAGGTGGCATAAGGAATACCTAAACGAACTCCAGACACGACAAAAATGGTTTTCCTCTAATACCAAGCTAGCTGTCGGTACTGTCGTCATCCTCATGGAAGATAACCTTGGAACCTCTCGCTGGCCTCTGGGAGTGGTGACCAAGGTCTTTCCCAGTAGTGATGGCATATCCAGAGTAGCATCAGTAAAAACATCAAAGGGAGTTTATACACGGAACATTACGCGTTTATGTGCTCTCCCCACAGATAACTCTTAAACATCAAACTGTTTGTAGGTGCAATCCCGTACCATCTCTTCACTGTAAATATGTTCAACTAGTCATAAGCTATGCAATCACGGAACAGCCGCTCCAACGGAAGGTGTTTCCTCTTAGTTCAAAAATTGTGATCAAGTTGTATGTTTGTTCTAGTCTACTTGAGTCACTAGCGTACTTTAATGTAAGCGTACTTTAACATAAGTCACTATGCTGTAAGAATCAATCAATGAATGGTCAAACCAAAGAAACCATTGTAAATTCATTGATCCTAATTCGTCAATTCATTGTATCAAACGCTGTTTATTATTTCTACTGCTAGTCATGTTATCCAAGCTAACATTCCTGCAGCCCTGACCGGGAGTATGTTCCGTGGTCGTCGCGTTGTTTGGCGCCAGCTCGTGACTACCGCGCGAACTACTTCTGCGCTTGCGCGCTCTCGAATGGTGTGCGCATGAATGCGAGGTCGAGAGTCCGTTGGAAATAAGGTCCGGGGACTGACCACCATCTTGATTCACTGCCTCGGAGGGGACGATGAGGCAGTCTCTCCGAGCAGTTCGAAGCGTATAGACATAGCGTTCTAGCTTCTTCGCCAATCGAAACGTGATCATTCGACAATCGATCTTTCCGAGATCACCTTCCTGTTTTTAAAACGGTTGACCGTCGAATTCTGTATGCAAGTGTGTTTCATTGAGAAGCTTCTCGCGTGTATATAATTGTGTGAAGGAGTGAAAACTTAGAAAAACAATTAGAGCGACCACCATTGTCTTAACAAATTGTAACGGCCACCGGCCTCTTGCGTTCCGCGAAAACGCCTCGGCGTGTCGAGTGCGCAACTTCTTTTTCGTCTCTTTATTGTAAGAGTGCGCGATTTCCTTTCTTTCCCTCTTTATTGTAATTTCATGTTCTCTTTCTTTGATTGTAAAATTTAATAATAATAAAAGGGTTTTTATGCCGGTATGGCTTTTCCCTCTATTTGAGAATTTTTTATTTAAAATACTTCAATCAATGCTATTAAAAAATTCAACTTTTTCCCTTTCTCTTTATAAACAACTACGTCTCATTTCATTTATTGTTTGATGGTTTTCTATTAGTATACTATACATTTTGCTTCGAAGGCCGATTAATTCTCTCATAATATTCCCATTGCATTCATATTTCATAACGCCGAGAACTTTTTTATTAACTAGCGGTATATTAAATTGATTATTTTCTGGGTAATCTGATGTATCAAATTTATTGATATCTTCTTTCATAATTTCATGCATATCAACATCTTGATATTCATACACTAGACTTTCTCTATTAGTATAGAGTAATTTTACTTTATGAGCTAGTCTTTCTTTTATGTACCCATAGTGGAAGTTATATACTACTGTTTTTAAGAGATCGAGCACACAAAGTCTAATATATATTGGTTTCTTAATTCTAATATACGTTCATGATAACTGTATTGCTATTAAATTTTAATCAAAGATGGAATTACTATGACAGTTAGGTTGAGCAATCCGTGTTTCTTATCCATATCTCCCACCCTATTCACTAATCAATTTGACGTTTTATCACTTCGTTTCATCCTCCATATTTTTTCCGTATATTGCATTAACCATAAGTCTATAGAATAACTTTTCAAACTCATTTTTTGATCGTTTTCTTTTTTCAGTATTCAAATCTACATAAGTTTTGAGCCATGGCTTTTGATTAAACTGTAGTGCTCTATGTATTTGTTTAAGTTTGAGTCCGTATTTGATAGTCTGCTTTAGCGCTCTATAGTGAATGATATACCGTTCTTTATCATACAGCGTTGTTAAAAGTTTTTTCTGAGTTGATCCGGAAGGTGTGCTATTTTTAGAACAAAGTTGAAGGTCCTAATGTTCGTTATGTAACGCTTTTGGATATTCTAGATCAACGTCTAAAATATATCTAACCTCATTAATATCAGAAACATCGAAAAAATTAGACTCATAAATTTTATAGACCCACTTAAAATTTTTATATGGTAATGATTGCGTCATCGCCCACCCATATAAATTGTTAACATCAAAATACATCAAAGTCTTGCTTGGTTATTTTCATTGTATTCTAGCTCAATATTTGTACACTCTAACATAACATTCCATGTTAATCCAGGAGTAGTATAATAGTATAGTGACGTCGGGGTCACTCTCAGGTACGCTTGGAGTAAGCGTAAACTCAGGGTTGCTCTGATTTGGCTATCGTGTAACACATAAGCCGGGAAGAGCAATATTGTTGCGTGGAGAAAACTATATGCTAGTGCGATATGTAATAACCAAATGTTATTACGAACACACCAGACTCACGCTTAATGAATTTCCAAAAAACGGATTGCTTAAAGAAAGAAAAGGATAGCCAGATATAAGGTTTTACTTACTTTTATTTTATTTAATTATTTATTAGTAAGACTGCGCTCTCTCTAAATCCGGCAAGTTTCCTTCGGGCTGACGATATTTCTTAAAATAGTTTTGGCTCCTTGAACTTGAATCTGAGTTTATTCATTTCCACTGAATTTCTTAAAATAATTTAACTTTATTAATTTTCACTAGACTTCTCTAATAACTTGAACTTAAACTTGCTCTAATAACCTTTAGGACTTGAACTACCTCTCTGGGTCTTGTGCAGCCTTTTTATATTAGGTGGGTGTTTGGGTGATGAGTCCCTCTCTCAGCCTCTCGGTTTTAGGAGGAGTGGAGTAGGCAATGATGTGTTAATTGGTCCGTTTGTTTCTTCTGATTTTCCTAGTTGGATTTTCGAGCCCTGATAGGAGCGGGGGCGTGGAGAAAATCAAGAGCGCGGACGCAAGGGACAGGCCTTAGCTTGTAAGATGGCTCTTCAAGTATCATTCGGAGCCAAGATTAATTAAAAATTTCGTAATTATTAATTAATTGAAGTTGGAACAACCATAATCGACCAATACATAACTTATACACTACTTATATTAACAATCAATATTATAATTAAATTCGCCGCAAAATACAGTTATCAATAATTATCTAATAATAAAATATTATAAAAATAGTACGATGCTTATTATCTCGCATGCCATGTTGTATAAATTCGTAGATTAATTTCTTATAATAAAAGTTCGCTAAATAATAGTGAATTCATTAACATTAACATATTTTTTTATTTTTTTCTATTTTCTGCTTAAACTAAGCCCCGGAGCGAAAACTCGATAAGGGGTTTCGAGAGGCCAAAATTAGTTTTGATATATTGTTGAAATCAAAATATTCAAGTTCAAAAAATATTATTTCATAATTTCTAATGACTAATTTAATTGGAAAGGGAAAAATTCATTGGTTATGATGTGAATAGGATGCAGACGCGATCCCATGGCCCTCTTCTCTCATCGGCATGATAACGCTTCACGATGTATACACGATGATCGTAGGCTCCTGTCAACACATGCGCGTGAGATAATGCAGGATAGAGCGTCGATTGTAAGGCCGAATAAGCAGGTTTGGGCCACTATCAAAGTTTATATAAACACTTTATTTCGAATGCGTCTTTATCGTGGAAAATCAGGAAGGTTCCCACTCGGTTCGTCATATTTAATATTTAAATTAATCTAAAAAAAACTAAGTTACGGCTGGCCGTCACACCCCCACACTTAAACTATTGCTAGAGGAGTGCAACGAGGAAGAGCAATCGAAATTTTTATTCTAATTATAAAGATCTTGTCGTATCATGCTGTATTCAAGGTTTTATCATTATATTTTATATTTTACTAATCTCGAAGGTCTTGCCCTAACATGGGAGAAACCCAAACGTTGGTTTAACTACTTGAGATTGTGATGCTCGAATCGAATTACTCTGGTTGTGTTGTGTTATTTCATTTTCTGTTGAATGTAGAGTCGGATATAACTCCTGTCCAGGAGCGGTGACAATATTTGCTGGTGATTCTACATTCCTTTTCGCTTCTGTGGGTTTTGGTGCTAAATGTATCAGAAAGGTAGTTAAACTATTCCATACGGCCCCAATCAGATGAAAAGACCATCCATAAATGCTATGTAGAGTTATTCCATTGATGAGGACTTCTATTAATTTTTTTGTAGTTTGGACAATTAGTATAATTGCAAGTATACCGACACTGAAAGTACCAAAGGTCATAAATTTCATCCACATTTTGTTCCAGGTATTGACTACTAACTGCTCCAATACATTCTCGTTCATTAACTTTCCAATTATTCCGTTACTGTCTTTTATAGTGTGTCCACGAATTTCTCGGGTTACAACATTTATTACTGCAGGTTGTTCCAAGGGGAACAGGATTCTGTTCATTAAATCTTGTAGATCCTTTTCTGTATGTATTCCGCTGGTGGCTAGTGAGGGAATATTCTGGTATTTCCAGGTTTATCCAGAAAAAGGCTTAAGAGTGGTGGGAGTTTTTGCTTCTACTGCTCTTGGTAAAAACTTATACTAGTCATCATTAAAATAAAAGAATGTGGGTAGAAGAGCATTACAATCAACTACTGTCCCATAAGCCTTCAAAATATGTGTTTTGGGAGATAAGAATTTGGTATGGTTGTTATGGATTACTTTTAGTTCAGCATAACATTCGTCTCCTTGCGATTCACATCAACGGGTATACACTTAACGATGTGCACTACCTCTCCTGCTGTTACACCCATATGTCCGGCTCCTTTCATGAGATTATAGGCAAACTGATCGGGAGATTGACTAGCAATTGCAAGTGCATTTTTCAAAATTTCTCTTTCTTGCTTACAGTGATGTACGACAACATCCTTGTACATACGACTTAATTCTACTTTTATGTGACGTTCTACATATACAAACTTAGAATTTACATACGCAAATATATTTAGGTTATTCATTGATATTTTCTTACTTAGAAAAAATGCATTATTTTCGACAACATTAACGAATAATTTTGGGTGTTCGGTAACTATAATTTCGGTTTAGATTTGGATATTAACGCAAAAGCAATGTCTTGTGTTACTAGCGAGTATAATGTTTGTTCTATTTCACCTTCAATTTGATTAGCTGCTCCTTCATACAATATTTGATACCGATTAAATTTGCATACATCTTTAGATATACTTTCCCAAAAAGTGTATCCTCCTTCAGAATCTATACAATGTTCACTATCTAAAATACATCTAACGCCACTACGTAATATTATTTGGTTATTATCTAAGTCTACACAAGCGGTATATTCTT